AACTCTTGGTTTCAGCTCAGGTCATGATCTCACGGTTCAGGAGTTCAAGCCCCACATCAGGCTCTGCACTATCAGTGCAGAGCCTGCTTGGGATGCTCTCTATCCCTCTCTCTGCCTCTCCCCTACTCACTCTCTCTCTCAAAATAAATAAATTTAAAATTTTTTGAAAGAAACTACTTCATTTGAGATACAATTTTAGGGTTGAAGATAGGTTAGCACATGTAACATTTGTATATATACATATATATGGCATATATATCCAGCATATATATAGGTTAGCATCCAATAGCAGAAATATAATAGCCAGGACCATAGTCTAAGCCCATTGTTAGGCACGAAATGGTCAGTATACATGTATGTGTATGGCTTGTGTACGTGAGGGGCAGGGCAAAAAGGGGTCAATGTATGTGCATATCATACATAAAAATATACAACGAAGAACAGTCAAAAATGAAACTATGGTGACAGAGGCAGCAGTCTTGGGGGACTGATGGAAAGGAGCATGAAGGAACTTTCTGGAATAATGAAAATGTTCTGTAGTTTGTTTTGGGGGTGGTTAAGGGTGTAAATAGTAAAAAAAAAAAAATAGCCAACTGAACACTTAAGATCTGTATACTGTATCATACACAAACCATATGGCAATAAAAATCAATCTCCTGTGTAGATCCACGTGTTTATGTGTTCAGAGATATGAATACTCAGGTGCGTGTGAAGATAGGAGTGTGTATGTGTAGCCCCGCCTGTACATTGATGACCTTGGTCTAGGGTCTGGTTGTGGAAACCAGGTGGACTTGGACACACAGGAAGTATACACTGAAGAATTCAGCTTGGCCTCCACAGCTGTCAGCTAATTCCTTTCTCAGTGGTCATTTGCCCAGAATTTTCCCAGTTGCTATAACTGTTATCCAAACCTCCTCAACCCTCCTTGGGTCCCCATGGAGCAACTTCTCTCACTTCCTATTTATTGCTGGAGTAAGTTAAGGCCATTGGGTGCGAATAGGCCTTCCCAGCCAGCAGCACCCCACACAGGTTGGGGGGCTTCATGCTTTCTCCTGGAATCCTCTGGCTTTTCCTCTCCCACCTAATCCTTCTCTCCTTTCAGCATCTCAAAGCTCTCCCCCTCCATTAGCATCCTTCTGAATTCCAGCATTCACAAGCCTGAGCTTTCTTGAAACAATTCATGAAGGCAGAAAGAAAATCCCTAGAATAGCTTGGCCTGTGCCATCTGAAGCTAGTGCAGGCAGAGAGGCAGGTGCTGGACCCCAGCATGGAAAAGTCTGAGGCTTGCTTGCTGTCAGCAAAGCAAGGAGAGGCAGAAGCATTTGAAGTACCTTGCACCCCCCACTCCCACCCCAGGATTTGCTGGGGCAAAGGATGCATAAGTGTTTCCTATAGATCAAATGTGTGGGCAAGAGGTCAGCTACAAGCCATCATAAAGGGACTTCGCCCAAGATGACCCCTTGGAGGGACAATGGGCCAATTGCAGATGTTGGGAATTCTAGAAACCAGGGGCCAAACAACTGAAGGCAAGACTGAGGCATAACCACTTAGGTAAAAGAAGTGCAGCTAGAGACGCACACAAGCACCATATGGAAGATAATCACCTACAAACTCCTGTCAAGCTCAGAGAACACTAATGCCAGATGACAAAGGGACCTTTTTTGCCCCCTACCTCTACTCCTACAACTGCAGTCTGAAGCCACAATCTTACAGGGGAGGTGGGGGTGTGAGGAAGCAGGATGGGAGAAATGGAGAAGTCAAGTATTCTCCCTTCCAAGGATGGGAGCCTAAAGCAAGCCCAAGAGGGGATGAGAAGCTCTGACACTGGATTCACTTGAGATTTGACTACTAACGTTAACTGGACATTACAGCTATTGCACAAAGTCGGTTCCAACGACCAGGGGTGATCTGAGAGCAAGCAAAGAAATAAAGCAAGCGGAAGGAAGACGGCAAAGCTGTCTCAGGACTGGGTGGGCTTTCTGAACGAGACCCTGCATGCTCAGTGTAACAGTCACACGTACACACAGAATACAGTAGCTACTGATATGGTTATGAGCAATCTCCGGACTTGAAGGGAAACAGCTGGAACTGAATGGGAGGCGGGCTTTTCCAGCAGTCAAGTTGTTTGGGACCACCTGAGTAGACAACTTGGCAGGGAGAGGGAGGGAATCGAGCCCCAGGTATAGGAGTCTGAGACTCCGTGATTCACATTTTTCTCAGGGCCTCACCTCTCCCTTCTACAGGGATGCCTTCAGCCCTGGCCTCTCTCATGGGTTTTAATCCTACATTCATTCAATCCCACAGGAGGAGTGACTCCCCACCTGTCCACTGATATTTCTATGTGGACAACTTGCCATCACTTCCAATCCAACACACCTAAAACGGGGCTCTTTATTTTTTGCCTCTAGCCAGTTTTTTTTGTTTTTTTTTTTTTTTTTAATATTTTGAAAGTGAGAGAGAGCACGAGAGAGTGAGTGAGCACATCCGTACTGGAGAGGGGCAGAGAATGGGAGAGAATCCCAAGCAGGCTCCATGCTGTCAGCACAGAGTCCGATGTAGGACCCGATCCCAGGAACTGGGAGATTATGACCTGAGCCAAAATCAAGAGTCGAATGCTTAACCGACTGAGCCAACCAGGTGCCCCATCTTTCATTTCTTAAACCCACAAACGAATCAATTCTTCCCTTGAGACTTCTCCCTCATTGGTCCCACTCCTGCCAGGTCTATGGTCACCATAATTCAGATCTTTAGCATCTTCTAGAATAGCCTCCCAAACTATCTGCCTGTCCTCCACATCTTTCCATCTGACTTCTTGGCATGCCAAGGTCAGTCCAACCTTCCCCATAGTGCCAGTGGCATCATCAAAGCCTTTGGTAAACACCTGCTGCCCAAGGAATAAAATATAAACTTCTCAGCTAACATTCAGAGCTCCTGCACAATCTGTTTTTGTTTTGCAACCTGCTTTTCTCAGCCTCATCTAAAAACAATTCAACCCTTCCAAAATTCAGAGATCTACTCTCAGCCTGCTGCACAATAAAGACTCAGAAATGAAAGACATACCTGACCACAAGGTAGTCTCAGTTCTAGTGGGAACACACAGAGTAAATAATTAACCAGAGAACAGTTCGTGAGAAGATAAAGGACATTGCTCATCTGCCTGTCCCCACTCCAACAGAGAGGATCTATTCACCAACTGTAGATTTGGGCTTTCCTAGCCCCAGGTTTTACTTTGGTCTCTTCCCTCTCCACTCAAACACTTGCACTCCCACACCCAGGCGAGGATCCTCCTCTGGAGTTGAATGGTCCCACTGAGTAACTCTATTCTTCCTGAATTCCTCAGCTTATGTGTTGCATCCTGAGGTCCCCTCTTGAGGCCCCCACCCCACCCCTAATGTGGGTTAGATGCACCTGCTGTTCCCATCACACCTAACTCTCCTAGCGTTGCCTTTTTCATTCCGCCTGCAATTTGGCCCGCTCTCCCACTAGATTCAGCTCCTTAAAGGCAAGAAAATGGGCAGATCTCATTAAACCAACAACCTACTGCACCTCTACTTGCCCCTGGACTCTGAACTTTTTGAGGGCAAGGAACTCTCTGTACACCCAGAAAATAGTTGGGGGGAGAGGGAAATAAAGCTTCTAATTCAGCTTATACATTTAAGTGGGAAGTTCCTTGTGAGCATGAAACACAGCTTTACTTCAAGTCTGGATAAACTCTGAACAAATCCACTTGTAACTAGGCTTCAAGCCACGGTTTCTCTGTACCTAAAGCAGAAACAATGCGGCCATGTTCACAGCCGGGCTAGGTAGACCTGAGGAGTAGGGATCGGGTGACCAGGCAAGTTACCACCTAGGTAACAGTTTCCTCCTCTGCAACACGGAGCTGCTTTCCCTCAAACTCGCAGGACAGTGCCTCGTCCGCAGTTCTGTAAACCCTAACAGAGGGTCCTGTGCACCTCGAGGGACAAGGGCACTGGTGGGTGGGCGGTACGTGTGCGTGAGCTGGGGGAGGGAAGGGTGCACCGAAGTGACTGATGAGAGGGGACCCCATCCTCCCACCCCACCCCCCAGGGCTCAACCTCCTCTCCCCCTTTTTCCCCCAAAGCTTTCCAGAGCTCGGAGTCCCTGCTGCCTCCCGGAGCAGGCTGGGTGGTCTGGGCTGAGGTCTAGGGCCCGAACCGCACCCCCTCCGCCGGTTCTGTAGCGCGATCTCGGCCTGTCTCCCCGTCCGAGCCTCTGTCTGGAGCCCCACCTGGAAAAATGGCTCCTCTAAGGCTCTTCCAGTCTAAATCTCGACCTCTTCCACCTCTCTGGGGCGAACTCTCCCTCCCACTCGCGACCGCGGCTCCCCCACCGGTCGCACAGAACGCTTCGCGCGCAAGGACCCTGCCCTGACCGCGCTTCCGGAGCGGAGGAGTCGCCCCACGGCCTTCTTTCTCCACAACCTAGAGATGGACGTGAAACCGCGAGATTTGGGGGGGGCGGGGCCGGAAGCCCGGCCACTCTCGCGAGGCCGGGCGGAGCGGAGCCGGCAGGCCCTGTGCACCGTGGAGGTCGTTGGTGTCACCTGCCTCCGGCAGCTCCTTCGCCCGCCGGTCTGCGCCCCTCCCGCTACAACCATGCTGTCCGTCCTTGCCCGTCCTGCCGGCGCCGCTCTCCGCCGCAGCTTCAGCACCTCGGCCCAGGTAGGCCCGACGAGGGGCTGCCTGCAGACAGAGGCCCCCCCGCCTGGGCCACGTGGGTTCTGGGCTCGCGAGCAGCCCTGATCCCCGGGGCCGCCCTAGGTCGCAAGGCGGCCGGGTACCGACCCGCGGCTTTGGCGCCCTGGGCCGGCCCGGATAGTGAGCGGGAAGTGCTGAAAGAAAGCCCTGGAGAAAGGTGGAGGGGCTCATCCCCCGGACCCTCAGAGGGCCTCCACTCCTTCAGGGTTAAGAATCCCGGGCTGTAGGGCGAAAGTAATTTATGCTTGTATGCATCTTTCTATAGTACTTTAAGCGACTAACCTTGTTCTTGTAGCATCCGCACAAATAACGTGTAATTATTAAGTCCATAGTACAGAGTGAGATGCCGAGGGTAGGTAACTGGTCCAAGGTTACCCAGTCATTTAGCCAGAGGATTAAACGCCAGGTCTTCCGCCCACTGTCAGTGGCTTTTGAGTTACCAAGCCTTCCCTCTAAGAACCTAAAGACTATGCTTCCTCTTAAGGACTCTTTTGAAGGCTCCTTCCTGCTGTGGGCGGACTGGGCCTACCCCCAGGTGTGGTGACTGTCCAAGCCTTGGCCTGGGAGTACTTAGGCCTAAGTTATTTTTAGCCATCTTCTAGGATGGTGGTTCTCAAACTGGTGTGTGTTAGAATCACCTGAAAGCTAATGCAGACCAGGCCCGGGTTCATTCAAGAGAGTGTAGACCTGAACCTTTGTATGTTTACCAAGTGTCTCAGGTGATTCTAATATAACTAAAGTTTGCGAACCCAGAGCACGTCGCCTCTTAAGTACTGCACCCAAAAGGAAGGTGATTAGTCCAGATTTCTGCTTTAGCTTCTGTCCTTCAGGTCAGTTTCTTGTTGATTCAGTTCATTTGAAAAATAAGAACACAATAATAGCATTGAGTATCCATCCTTGCCAAGATCCGTGCTGCTGGGTGCTGCAGGAGATACTAAGATGACTAAGAAGTAGCACTTGAGATTGGCCCAAAAGGAGTAAACTTAGGACAGGTGGAGGTGCTGAAGCTTGGTGCTGAGGAATGGGTGGGGGAGGGAACTGATCACAGGTAACACCGAGGGATTTGCAGATGATTTAATGAAGGGCTCCAGGTGGGGGACACGAAGACTCTGGGCTTTGATAGCACTGATTGCTGAGATGGGAAAGACTGCTGGAAGAGAGAGGGTTTGGACAGGGGGAGGATATCAGGAGTTCAGTTTGAAGTGTTGAGTTTAAAATGCATATTGGAGGGGCGCCTGGATGGCTCAGTCGGTTGGGCATGGTCTCGATTTTGTCTCAGGTCGTGGGCCCAGCGTCATGGGATTGAGCTCCACACCAGGCTCCATGCTGAACATGGAACCTGCTTAAGACTCTTTCTCTGCCTCCTTCCCCACTTGCACTCTTTCTCTCTAAAAAATTAAAATAAAATGCATTTTCAACATACAAGTGACAATATTGATGAAGGTATTCGAGTAAGTCAGAAAGATGAGCTTATTTTTTTTTTAATTTTTAATGTTTTATTTATTTCTGAGAGAGAGAGAGAGCAGGGGAGGGCCAGAGAGAGAGGGAGACACAGAATCTGAAACAGGCTCCAGGCTCTGAGCTGTCAGCACAGAGCCCGACGTGGGGCTCAGACCCACGAACTGTGAGATCATGACCCGAGCCGAAGTCAGATGCCTAACCGACTGAGCCACCCAGGCGCCCCAATGAGCTCATTTCTCCATGTTTGTACTAATATACGTTACGACACAAAAAATATAACTTCAAAAAGAAACTGTAGATTTATATCATAAAGTAAACATATGAATGAGGGAAGTATTATATGCATTTTCGAAAGTTGCTGAGCAGTGCACTGTAGACAGCCACTCAGTGCAGAATAGATAAGCAGGTAAGAGATCACCAAGTTAATGTCTGTAATACCATAATCTCTGCAATAACCACAGATTCTCGTCACATTGTAAAGATTCCACTACTGAAAGACTGGGGTTTTATACATGTTAACTAAATTCATGAAACCTTGTAACATACAAACAATGACCTCACCTCAACAGTGAAAACAATGGAAGGAGCAGAGAGGTCATCTTCTGTATCTTATGGGACTGATTCACTTAAGGACCCTGGTGAGGGCATCAGGTCCATCTGTTTCCTTTTTATTTTATTTATTCTTTATTTTTTTAATGTTTATTTATTTTTGAGAGACAGAGAGTGAGCAGGGGAAGGGCAGAGAGAGAAGGAGACACAGAATCTGAAGCAGGCTCCAGGCTCTGAGCACAGAGCCCGACGCGGAGCTCGAACCACGAGATCATGACCTGAACTGAAGTCGGCCGCTTAACCGACTAAGTCCCCCAGGTGCCCCTCTTTTTTATTTTATTTTTAAGTAATCTCCCTGGGGCTCCATGGTGGAGCCGCTGCCCTAGTCAGGCCTGGAACCCAGGCTGAGCAGGCTGGGCATGAGGCACTTCAAGGAGATTTTTGAGCGAGGAGGTAAAATGATCAAAAGTCAATTTTCTGAAGAATGATTCGGATTTGGAAATGAGGGCCTGAGATGGACAATGGAACAGGAACAGAAATCAGGGACAGGTTGGGAAGGTGTTTCAGATGCCACGTCCTTCATGTCCTAACAGGGGGTCTCTGATAAGGGGAGAGGCAGGAAATGGTTCTAAGCGTTTGAATATAGTAGAACACAGGTACTATGTGAGAACAGGGTGGGAGAGATAGCATACATTCATTTATTTAGATAGCTGGAATGTCTAACAGAGCTGGGAATGTGGGAGTTGGAATTTGGGAGTCCCAAGTAATGATTAAGACACAAGATGTGAGAGTGATAACTGAAGATCTGGAAGTGGATGGCATTGCCAGGCCCTGGGTTCTGGGTTGATATGGCTCGTTAAGTTTTCTGGGAAGTCAGGGGTCCCCCTTTACAGTACCAATTTAAAAAAAAAAAAAAAAAAAAAAACACTGAATTTGAGTTGTAGTTGTATATCCTTTTAGAGTTTACCTTTCTTAAGCAGGTGACACATTATGGGTGGTTGCTTTGGTTTGGGGTTTGGCTTGAGATTTTGATAACCAAAATCCATAATTACCAGCACCAGTTGCTGCAGAAAACAATCTAGGATGATAGTATAAAGACCCTAGATGACCACATCCAGTACTTTGGATTCTTGTCTCTGTTTTCTCAGTTTGTCTCCTTCCTGGCAGCTGCCTGCCTGCCAGGAATAGTCCCCCTCTTCTCATTTGTTGGTTCACAGTAGAAACGAGCTCACAGAGGATTTTGGTTAGGCCTTGAGTGAGCCTTAGTGGGGAAGGGTACCTTTTGTATAATGAGAGTAAGCTTCAGGGCACTGCTTAGAATAGGTCTGTTTTTCTCAGACTCTTTTCTTTTCTTTCCTTTTTTCCTTCCCTTTCATCTCTTTTCTTCTGTCCTTTTTTTCCTTTCTTCCTTCCCAAATTGAAGAATCAAGTTGCCTGTGTTTGGCCTGTATCCCGCTTCATCATTTCCTTCATAGGAAAGGTCACCAGGAGGCAGTCATTGAGTTAGTTTTTCAGGATGGCTGGGGTGGGGGTGGCCTTAAGTCTCATCTGGTCATCATCCTTCACAGACTCCTCTTCCTCCTTTATGCTGGTGTTCATAGGGCTCTGTCCCTGTCACTATGTGTTGCCTTTTGTGCCTTCTTCGTGGCTATCATTGATCCCAGTGCTGATGGATAGGACCTCCAGACCAAGCTTAAAGGCAGTGTTGTCTACTTAAGCCAGGAAGCTGTCATCCCAGATTTGTCCCTCTGCTTGCCATCTGGATGGAGGGAGAGGGGGAGAGAGCGACTGAATCACTCATAGTTCACCCATCCTTCGTGCTTGCCTTTATCCCACCGTTGAATCGTGCTTAGACTATTGGAGTAGTGTCCCTGCCTCTGTTCTTGCAGATCTCCAGTGTTTCTTCCATTCTGGCTCAAAATTTTTAAAACACAGACTTGGACATACTTTTCCCAGCTTTTAAGGCCTTTCAGTGGTCCCCCTTTGCCCAGAAGAGCCAGATATACTCTGCTAGGCCCTCAGCTTGGCCCTGTCTTCTTCCTTCCTCCACGTGTGTCCAGCAATGCTCGAGCCATAGAGGACTGCTTCCCTTCAGTAGGCCATATTCCATACTCTTCCCCCCCCGGCATCCGTCTGGTAAACTCCTACTCGTCCTTCAAAGTCCCCTCCAAACAGCTCGTTCTCTTGGTGCCGCTGCCCTTCCCTGCATCTGCCTTTGTGGCGCGGGTCACACACCTCTTTCAGTTTGCAGGCCTTGTTGGCATGTGCAACTCAGTCTAGCATGTGGCAGGAAGTCCGTGCCACTGAATTGGAGGTGAGCCTTAAGGATGACTAGCAGCCACTTTGAGAAACAGTCTGGCAGTTTCTCAGAGATTGAACATGGAGTTGTCACATGACTGCTCTATCCCGCTCCTGGGTACAAGAACATGAAGGGGATTAGGTGATGCCTGTTGTTCAGATGCACTTAGCTCTGCAGTGGCTGTTGAAAGTCAAGTCTTTTGACTTTAGTTCCAGTAAGGTGAGCAATGAACTGAAAAATTCTTGCAGCTCCAGCCTGTTAGATGTTAGCAAGGCAGTGTCATCTCTCCAAGCCATGTCACTGTTTTTTGGGGGTTTTTTTTTGTTTGTTTTTTTAATATTTATTTCTGAGAGAGGAGAGACAGCATGAGCAGGGGAGGGTCAAAGAGAGGAGACACAGAATCCGAAACAGACTCCAGGCTCTGAGCTAGCTGTCAGCACAGAGCCTGACGCGGGAGTCGAACATGACCTGAGCCGAAGTCGGATACTTAACCGACTGAGCCACCCAGGCACCCCAAGCCATGTCACCGTTTTAACTGTTCCTGGTTGACACGCCCAGAGCCACCTGCTGTTTGTTCTCCTGCATAGCTTGGCGTGAACCAGTAATGATTCTCAAACTTCAGCCAGTGCCAGGATCACCTGGAAGATGCAGCGAAAATGGTGGAGGCCTGAGCCCTGTCCTGTGTCAAGGAGCCTGGCCATCTGTGGGTTTTGATGGCCTGGGCAAGGGATCTTGATAGACCCCGAAGTGTGGGGTGCAGCTCCAACCTGCCTGCTGGGGAAGGAGCCTCCTAATCCTGCCCCAGGTTGCAGCCAGGATGGCAATGATGCTTCTTGATGCTGGCCCGCTGGCCCTTTGCCTTGTCCCCTCCAGAGCAGGCAGGGCTCCTCCTCATTCCCGCATCCCTAAGGACAGTGACTGGCCTGCTGGTAGGTGCTCGGATGCGTTTGCGTATAGTTTTTAAAACTACAGGTTGCAGGGACAGCGGTCTGAGTGAAAATTGTTCCCCTTTAGGAGGGTGTGTGCAGTAGGACCCGGACTGTGACATCGAGAGACCTAAGTTCCCCATTTTCCTGAGACCAGGCTTCAGAAGGAAACTAGACCTTTGGACTGGTTGAAACACGACAATTGTGTCTTCTCTGGCACCACTGCCCAGTGCAGTATTTTACAAGTTGTC